GGTTTCGTGTGTTGTATTACAAGAGTTAGTCTTAAGACTTTAGTTGTGGAAATGGAACTGGTGTACGATGACCTATAGTGGCTAACTTCTACGTCATTATGCCTCAGGTGGAAAGTTGTCTACTTTGGCAATTTAATCACATCTTTTTATTTTGACATAGTTAATATACCGTATATTCGGCTATAAAGGTCCGATGAAAAATATGAAACAATTCAATTGAGAAAAGTAACGGACTAAATTATAACAAAACATTTTACGTTTTAATTTTTATGATGATTTCTAACAAACATTTTGTATCTCGTGCCATTTACACAGACTTCGAATTCCTAAATTACTCTTGTCTTAAAAATGCACGACATATAAAGATTTCACTTGTTGATTTATGATGTCGATTGACGAAATAACCTAAAACTACACTTCCTGTCTATTTTTTGTTCAGGAAAATGCTTAAAAGTTCTTTTTTAATTATTGTACTTTTTGTGCTGCCAGTCTATGTTTTTGTTGCACGAAGCAGTAGTTGTCCCAAGTCATGTAGATGTTGGAAGAAAGGTTGATCTGCGTCATATCGAGGTGCCTTGTTACGGTTCATCCCCGTGTTTCCGAGCTATATAACACAACTTGACTTTTCTGGAAATCTGCTAGTAAAATATAAACACTTCAACGTTTCGAAATCTGAAAGGATTGAAACTTGTGTATATACCTGATCTCATCCCATTCCCCACCCCTTTCATCAGAAGAGTCACCCGGACATCCCGAAAACAGGATGGAATAGTGTCGACCCCTAAAGTGTCTAAGCAACACATGACTCTCATAGTCGGCACTTTAGGGGTCGACACTATTTCATCCTTTTTTGGGATATCCGGGTGACTCATCTGATGAACGGGATGGTGGAATGGGATGAGATCAGGTCCCTGTGTGATTCGTCTGAAGAAAAGTTGCACTGCATGACTATATGGGGACGGAACACGTCCTGGAGTGAATCATGTGACGTAAGGTAGACACTGCACCACCAAATAAGAACTAGTAGTGACTCATTTTGAGGTGCGGTATATACGACAAAATATAGAGTCTGGATTGATTCATACGAGGATCCATGTGTGGACTTCCGTTGAAAGGGGGGCATGACCATCTATGGGATCCAGACCATATTTGTGAACACCTAACGCCTAACTTGTATAAAACTGATCGCATCCTACTACTATTCATTATGTGCAATAAATCCTTCCACACAGTAGTTATACAGAAAAGCTCTTAAACTTGTACAATGTATGTATATATATAGAACATGTACTTCATTTTATGGATCAATTTTGGATAGATTTTGCAAAATTGTATATATTACCAACATGACACATCTACAACCAAGCAAGCCCTTATTAGACTTTGCATATGATCCTAAATAGAATAATCTGTTTCACACCTACTCAGGAATATATACTTTCAATGTGTGTTTCCTTTCACTACTGCTTTTTTTGGCAGAAAAGAAAGAATTGATTACATGTAAATTTGATCCCTGGTAGAATCACCATTTTCCCTCCAACCCGGACTTTTTTTTCAATAATCTACTACACACATCTTTTTATCAATTTTCAACTTGAAACATGTTAACCTATAGTTTCAATTATGGAATTCTCCATTGTTATTGTCTCAATATTTCATCTTATAGACATACGTTTTGTGTTTTTTTTGCCATTTTCTCTGACCCGTTTGACCGCGTTAAATCATCATGATGCCTTACGTGAGCGTACAAATGTCCACAAAATCATATCCCTGTCATTTTCATTATGTTGTTAAATGTAACTTGTTGTTCGACGGATCGACCCCCCCCCCCCCCTTTCCCCCCTAAAAAAATTATTTATTAGGTTAATAAACCACATTGAATTAAATGTTGGGGAACACTTACTTGGACTACTTAACAGATTTGGAAAATCTACTGGACGACTTTTACCATATTTACCTTTCTGGAACCTTGGACAAGATGTGTACCTGGATGCTCCGCTTGAACTTTAAAATTAGATTCCTTACTCCGTGATGATGCCTTGTGATGTATTTGTGACTTTTGAACATTAAGTTAAAGACCGTTGAATATCTTGAACTATTTTTTTAAATTATTAATTGAAATTAACAGTAAATTGATTAATTTGTTGATAACTATATGTGTTTGTATTTGGAATTTTGGTAAGTATACCTAACCGATCTGGGGACTAATGTGTGGGCACATTATGTCTTAAGAGAGGGGGAGTGTAATGGTGGTCACTTTGTTTTCTTGTTAATATTACTATTTATTTGGGGAAATTGGTTAATGTTAGTATTATTTATAGTTCTGTAACTCTTTCTTCCGAGACCGGCCATGTAATAATTCTTGTCGGGACTTTCTGCCTCTTGCATATGCCTGACATCCGGCCCGGCCGGGCTAGTTGTCCCTAGGAACTATAAGTATGACGATATTTACCGGGTTCAGGGCAGTCTACACTTAGGATTTGAAATGAGCAGACGCTCATACCGTTTGGCTTGCAAATATGGAACTTTACACTGACAAGTAGACAAGCCACCACCGTATATTTTATTATTCTTGTTATGTAACTTATATTCAACCATAACGTATGTCTCTTAATAAACATCTTGTTTATATTTACGTGGTTTTATAGTTGTCCAATATCCAAGAAATTGGGTAGACAATGGGAAAACGAAGCCAGTGGAAACTCCACTCCCGTTACAATAACTACGCTTATGAAATACATTTTGAAGATTTTAATATTTCCTTAATAAATGCGCAATATAATTCCAAATAAAGGCCCATATCTTTTTTAATATCGTTCATGCAGTGAAACGGGAAGTACGATAAGGGTTGAAGGTGACATATGAACGTTTAATTATATATAATAGCTATTTTTATCATGGGAAAATACACATTCTAACAGTTTAAATACTTCCACACTCAGATTTGTATTACCTTTACGCTAGACCAGGAAAGACTTAAGTATTTGTAAGTATAAATTAATTTCTAGTGCTATATTTCAAATTGTTTAGATGAGACACATGTTTTCTTTCATGAATTTATGTAAGTTTTTTATAATTTTTTATTCTCGGTTCTTGAAAAAAAGAAGGCGGGAGATATTGCAGGGATATTCAAACTCATAAGTCGATGACAAACTAACAACGCCATTAATGTTGATCGATTGTTATGTAAATAAAGAAGATGTGGTGTGTATTTCAATGCTACAACTATTCACTTGAGACCAAAGGCCGATGATATATTATAGGACAGTTGTATGGTTCTCAACAAGGAGCAAATCCCATACTGTATATTAAACTATAAAAGGCCCTGGCTAAACAAAATGTTATAACATTCAAAAACAGAAAACAAACCTACCATATTAACCAATTTCATTTCATTACAGAAGAAGGCTTCATATGAGTAGCAGCAATACATTTGCACTCAAATTTGTCAAAGGACCATCTAGTTGAATAATTAATCTTCTGTTTTAATGAAAATGTGTGGAAGTGTAGTGTAGAGATTCGAAAAGTCATAACTAACAACCATCAACAGCACTCAATCTATCTAAAACCTCCAAATAGATTTTTAATATCCAAAAATGTTTTTTTTTAATTTTTCATGTGTTATATTACAACAGTTAGTCTAAAGACTTTAGTTGTTGAGAGGGAACTGGCGTACGATGGATAACTTCTACGTCATTATGCATCAGGTGTAAAGTTGTCTCCTTTGACTTTCAAACTACATATAATTACATTAATAAAAAAAATAAGGAGATGTGGTATGATTGCCAATGAGACAATTATCCACCGAAGTTCAAATGAAGTGGATGAAAGCAATTAAAGGCAACCGTCGGCCTTCAACAATGAGAAAAACCCATACCGTATGGTCGGCTATAAAAGGCCCCGACATGAAACATATGAAACACTTCAATTGAGACAATTCGGGGTCTAGATCATAACAAAACAACTTACGAAAAACTAATATGACAGACACGAACTAACAACCACTGAACTACAGGTTTCCGTCACAACAATTAATTGCAGAACACTTTACGATGATATGATATTTGACGGGGTTTTCAATACTAAGATACCAAATCAATAAGCGTACATAACAATTTAAATGTCGCAGTGAAATCGACTTTTACCGATGTCTTAACTATTCACGCTAACACTAACTATTCGTCATTATTTTAAGCGATAATAATAATTCATAGAGGATAATCATCTTGGTCGGAAAAAAGTTATCCCCCCCAAGATAGATTAACCCGAGTTTTTCCCTTTAAAACAATTAGGAAAAATTAGGAAAAACAACCATATACATTTTGTAGCAGAATTATAATGCCATACATATTGAACAAAAAATAATACAATCTAATACCAAAAAAAATCTATGATATGTACATGTATCAATATGTAGATGACGACATAAAAATATAGTATTGTACATTTAGAATATAGCAAGAGATAAAGTAAGCTACAGAGTTAAATTTTTCATTCCAATTTTTTCATAATTATAACAAGAAGATAAAACCACTGTTCAAAAGGACGTTATTCTCAATTTCTATGATGATTTTTAAAAAATACAAAAGAGTTAAATTGTTTACTTTATTGAATCTTGATATGTTAAACGAGGATTTTTGGCAGTCCGACAGTGTGCAACACTTCGTTGATCTTCATATTGATTTGCTATTGGATAGTTTCAATTCTTGTTTTTGTCTTTAACTTGTATCATGGTAGTCAAACAGTTTGCGACGCCCCTTTTACCTTCGGATTAAAGTAGGAGAATTGTTGTCAAACAATATTACTTATCTTAACCTCTGAGTTCTTGTTTTTCAGTGGAAATAAAGCTTTAAACATTTTTTCTCGTGCCATTTACAAGGACTTTCTAGATTACACTTGTCCTAAAAATGCACTTTTATATAACGTTTTCACTTGGTTGCTTATGGTATTGATTTATCAATTCCTCATAAAACTACAATTTTCTTCTGTTTTTTTTCCAGGAATATGCTCAAAAGTTCAGTTTCAATTATTGTTCTTCTTGTGCTTCCAGTCTATGTTTTTGCTGCACGAACTAGTAGTTGTCCCACGTCTTGTATATGTTTAAAGAAAATTGGATCTGCGTCATGTCAAGATACCTTGTTACGGTTCGTCCCAGTGTTTCCGAGCTATATAACACAACTTGACTTTTCTGGAAATCGATTAGAAATAATTAACGCTTCAACGTTTCGAAATTTAGAAGGATTGAAACTTGTGTATGTTTCTCTGAAACGGAACGGCATAACACATATCACAACTGATGCCTTCAGTCATTTTCGCTTCCTCCTTAAATTGGATCTCAGTAGGAATCCTAAATTGACTCCGTCTATTGTAGCAGATGCAGTAGCACAAATTAATTGTTTAGATTTTAAACAAATTAAACTTAATAGAATGAAATGGAGCAATGAACCAACTGATTTATACATTGCTTTATCACGCTTTAACATTCAAAAGCTAGAAATACTGGATAACAATTTCGAAAATTTGAATATGACACTTCTAAGCGAAAATTTGGTTCAGCTTAAAGAGTTGCGTATTGGATATGGCATAATCTCTATTATCCGACCAGGATTTTTACAAAAATTAGAAATACTAAATCTCCATTATAATCGTATACAAATAAAAAAAAGACTTTTTTGGAAATGAAACAAGCTGCTATTTCCCGAAACTTGTTCGCCTTAATTTGGCGGCTAACTCCATTACTAATATAAATAACCTGTTCTGGTGTTTAGAGAATCTAAAGTCTTTACGTCTTTCTGGGAATCCAATTTTAGGTTTATTGAATTACACTTTTCTTAAACTCCCGTCGCTTGAACTCCTATACATGACTAATCTAGGATTCCGATTTAACAGAATAGACGACAGAGCATTTCAAAGCATTACTTTGAAACAGTTAAAATTTACTAACAATCATTTTGTTTTCCAAAATGACACAATGTACCATTTTAATAAGACCGAAATTTTCAGATATAGCCCTACAATAGAATATCTTGATTTAAGTGGCAACAAATTCCCCTCTATACATGTTTTAGAAAAAATGTTATCGTCATTACGATCTCTAACACATCTTATTATTGACAACTGTCAACTGATTACACTACCTGAGAATTTGTTTTTCAAATTGCCTAACTTATCATATGTTTCATTTGAAAACAACAGAATCTCATCTTGGAATGGACATAGAGTATTCGGAAACCAATCATCTGTCCGATCGATAATATTGACCGGAAATGCTTTATCAACTATAAACGAAACACTGTTTCCTCGAAATGCTTTAAAACATTTATCAATTTTGTCATTAGGAAACAACCCCGTTGCATGTACATGCTCTAATGTATGGTTTCAAAACTGGATACAAACGGAAAAAATCATTTTCGAAAATTATCCAGAATTGTACCATTGTAAAACGCCTCCAGAAAAAGACGGTGAAATGCTCAAAGATGCAATACCAACACATTTCGAATGTTCCAATACAGATAAGGAACTATTCACTGCGGTTGTCACATCACTATCATTATCAGGAATTGTGTTCGTTATCATTTTCAGTTTAATCTTCAGATTACGATGGCATATACGATATTGGTTATTTCTTTACCGTGTGAAAAAGAAAGGATTTTCTCTTATTTCAAATGAGGAAACAGATTATAAATTTGAAGCATACGTAATATACTGTGACAATGAATTAGAGTGGATTCGCAAAAAGCTTTTAGAAAAAATAGAAAACGAGTCGGGAATTTCTTTATGTATAAGAGATCGAGATTTTGAAGTTGGAAAAGTGTATGTCGAGAACATAATTGAAAAAATGACCGCAAGCAGGAGAATAATTCTCGTTATATCTCATGATATGGTAAAAAGCGACTGGTGTCTGTTTGAATCAAGAATAGCGCAGGAAAAATGTCTTAACATGGAATCTGACGCATTAATAAGTCTTATGGTAGAGGATGTGTCTGAAGAAAATATATCATCAAGTTTGTGTGCTTTTGTTAATACAGCATCACTTAGTAAATTTCCAACAAAAGAATATGACGAGGAACAGTTCTGGTTGAACTTAACAAAATTACTTCGAAACCAAACATAGAATTGTCGATATAAAATCCTGAATAAACCTTATTTCAAATTAATTGTGTCAGTACGCTTCTTAGCTTTGCGAGTGAATCGCGCAAGGATGTTCTTTTGTTTCATTTACAAAATGAAAGTGCTGTTTTCTGCCAGAACACACACCGTTTTATGAAGGAACATTTTTGTATAGATAAATTTTTTGAGATCAGCGATTTTTTTTTGAATTAAGAAACAATAGGACAAATCAAAGATCAGTTGGTCAGTTTTTACCAGAATTCAAAAGGTCTTTTATTCGTAGTATTGCTAATAGTCTATACATATAATTTCAGATGACACATGTAGATAGATACATTTTAATCTATTAATTTAGAGGATTTATATCAATTCATGCATTATCATTTCTTTATCTCGATAAATACATCTTAGGTTCAATAGTTGACATTATGTTATTTTTATTTACATCAGTGATTATGTATCAGTTAAAGCATAAACTTACAAGTTAAATGCTACGACTGTGACTGTGACTTTGTTATCATTTTTAGTGTTGATCAATAGTCCTTCCAATTTTATTATAAGTCACTACCTTCAGTTGATATGAAAAATCAACAATGGAATCTACAAGTATATAAATATTATAACAGTATGAACATTGTCTGACGGACCTGTGCGCCTAACCACCATTTTGATACATCAAATTCGACAAAGCAGCAAACAATGTGATGATGAAATGAGGCTAATACTAAACGGAAGTTAAAAAGAACGAAATCATATATTCATCCACTTTAATGTCATTTGCTCCTCTTAGAGTAAAAAACCTGACAGTTATATCATTACCACATATTAGTTTAAGGTTTCTTTTGAACATTCGAAGGTTCCTACTATGTTTTGGCAACCTAAACTGCACACACTCACACAAACGTAAAATGTCGATAGTTTCATCTCGACTTCTAGAACTGTTCTACAACAGATCTTTCTGTCTAGTTCCTTGACTACAATTAAAGAACGTGCCTTTTTTGGTTCTTCAATTTGGTTGAAAGTTGTGAATTTTCGACTCTCTATACGATACTTGTCACATACCATGTTATCAAACAGAATTATATGTAATAGAAATAATAATAATTGTCATTTCTTATATATCTAAATCTTGTTGTTGCAAGCTGAAACTCTACTCAAAGATTTTCCGTTTGCTATTGTTCATCTTCTTTTTTTATACGGTAGTGTATTCCTTTGACCCTTTTTATCATGTGTATATTCCCCAACTTGTTGCTATGCTCGTCTCTGTATTGTCGCGTTTGTTGCTTTGACGTAATTTTAATAATAACTTGTAAAAAGTAAAATAACAAAAATACCGAACTCCAAGAAAAATTCAAAACGGAAAGTCCTTTATCAAATGGCAAAATTAAATGCTCAAACACATCAAACAAATGGAAAACAACGGTCATATTCCTGACTTGGTTCATACATTTCCTTATGTAGAAAATGGTGGATTAATCCTGGTTTTATAGCTAGCTATACCTCTCACTTGTAAATCATCTTGTCAGGGATTTCATTACTACAAATTACTTAAACTCGAGACAACAGTGGTTTAACGATATTCAAATTTCATAAGTCCTTTAAGAAGTTTAAACCCGTTACTTAAACAAGTATTTGGTCGGAATATTTGAACGTACCTGTAGAATCTTTATTACCAACGCGATATCACGTTCTAATTTTACGGGGTTTTGTAAATAGACTCATAACATGTAAACTTATTGATTCATTGAATAAACTTATTCTAAACGGTTAAAAATCTAAGACTGTAGTAAGATTATTGTTTATTGTCTCCATCGGTACATACATTGATTTGTATTGTGATAATTCAAAACATAACTAAATATGTATGGCTATACAGTTATGAACATTTTTGGCTTACATTGTGGCGATACTTTCATTTTGGCATTGCACAAGGTCATGCTTTTCTCAGACTGTTCATTTATTAGTACTAAAATTTTGAAAAAATGCATATAGTACACCAAATTACTTTTATGACTTTTGCAAAATTTTAGCGGACTGGTTTGTGAAAATGCGCACACCGATTTTTTTGACTGCTTTTATTTATGTATATATAATATATTTAACACAAACACAAAAAGACTATCCCAATTCCTGAGGTTTAATCTTACCGCTTCTGTGTGTAGACATGCCAAATATATACAAAGTAACAATTGTTATGAATACGGTAACAAGTCCAACCACTATAAATATTAGGATGCAGACAAGTAAGAGAGTGCCGAGTTTATGGTCAACTTCGACCTACATCGATTCGTCCAACTCGGCTGAGTAGAGTTTGTCGAGTTTACTCGAGTTTCAATCAAGTTTGACCCTACCCGAAAAAAATTGGAATCAACACTGAGTTGAGGCAGCTTTAGCTAAGTTACAAAATGGCGACAAACAAGAACAGCAAAAAAGAAAATGATACAAAATAAGTGACTTTTTTTTTTTGATAAAGCCAAAGAAAGGGGACTGTTAAGAAAGATTTATCGTTTGGTTGTGATTTGACAATAACAAATATTTTACATGCATAAAAACTGCCGGTGATGTTTATCCATAGAACAGATAAAATATAATTTCGCGAAATTATTAGGAAAATCTATTCCCTTTACTTAGCAGACGACGGGGCAGGAGGATTATAAAAAATAATGGCCTGGTTAGAACTGAAACTGAAAAAAAATGAATAAATGATAGAAGTTCTTTAATTTAATTGTGTTACACGTTTGAACATGAAGTTGTTCATTTTCGACGTTCATAAAAAAATAAGCAACCGCTGCTACAATTATCGTCCATTTTGGAGTCATTAACATTAGCACTGATTGTATAACTCTAGTCTACCCGAGTTAGACGAATCGAAGTAGAACATTTTTTCTCAAAAAGGGAATCATGTAAACAGAAAAGGTATTAACATGGTACAAACATAAGCATAATAAGACACTTCATTAGAAACCAAAACCGATTCGTTAAAAAGTATCGTAATATTTTTGGCATATCATCAAAGATGCATCTTTTAAACAAGCATTCACGTTATATAATGTTTCAATTTTCAGTGTTGTTGAAACCTTTCTAATAAATAATGAACGCTCCTCAAAATTAGAAAAGTCTTATGTTTGGGTTGGAAAGTGTAGGAAAAATGAAAGAAAGACAAAGATTATAGGAATATGTTTACATGAAAACTACCCAATTCTCGATGATAATACATTAAATAGTAAACACGAAATTTATTTAAAACTTTAGTACTTACACGAATCAATGGTGTGTAAACAGATGTTTACGTAGTTTACTTACAAAAACTCATCAAGGATACCAGACTGCTGTGTGTTTGTATATTCTATATTGGCTAGAGGTATAGGGGAGAGTTGAGATCTCACAGAATATGTTTAACCCCGCCGGATTTTTGCGCCTGTCCCAAGTCAGGAGCCTGTAGCCTTTGTTAGTCTTGCGTGTTTTTAATTTTAGTTCATTTATATGTTTTGGAGTTTAGTGTGACGTCAATTTTCATTGAACTAGTATACATTTTTGTTGAGGGGCCGGCTGAAGCCCGCCTCCGGGTGCGGAATTTTCTCGCTGTGTTAAAGACCCATTGGTGGCCTTGGGCTGTTTTCTGCCCTTTGGTCGGGTTGTTGTCTCTTTGACACATTCCCCATTTCCATTCTCAATTTTATTATAATTTGTAAGCCATACGCACGTTTCGTCTACATATGAATCATAAGTGTCGCTTGAAACAAAACAAATGTAAGGCCAATTTAAAATGATGGTCTAATTAAACCGCAAACGATGTCGCTACATATGTGAACATATAGGACAAAATTACATGAAAATGCCCATTTCATACAATGACCATCGTTTAAGTCAATTTGTTCAAGTCTCTCGGTTTGTTGTGAGATAATTCTCGAAATGTAATGGATCCAAATCAAGACTGTTTTATATATTCAAAGTGAAGATAAACGTTTCTCCTAAGTAATAAAGGTCCCGAAGGGAGTATATGTAATAAAATCACAGATTGAAGCTGTACTCCTTCATCATTTAATCCAAGAATGGTACTCAGCCAAGTGTCGAGTGAGTACGATTTGTTAGGACTTGCTCTTCCATATATTTTAGCAGCAAATGTTCTTATGAAAAACTGAGAATAGAAAGCATTGTAAATGACAAAACCCAAACCGATTCGCTTATGGATTATGTCAACAGAACCAAGATTATTCGACAATAAATTGTTCAAATTTCACAGATGTTCAAAACCCGAAAATGCCGTTGGTAACCCTATACTAGTGTTTTTTACGAAAGAAGCAACATAAATTATAAGTTTTGTTCCTGTTAAAACAGAGAAAAGAAAATGCTAGTATATAACTACGAGCGCTACAAATGATAGCCAAACATTGTAAAGCGACTACAAAACAGTAATCCGTTCCAATACTAAAATATGATTATGTGGAACTGTAGTGACAGCAAGAATTAGACAACATTTAGTGGAAGAAATGGAGTACAATTTAGTCGTGTTACACCCAAAGTTCACTTGATTATTTCGAGTGTACTAATTCAACAAGAACAGGTCACAATAGCTACTGCAACGTCATCTGACATTAAGAGGATAACTGACACATATTCTGGTTTGAATTTCAAGGATGTTAAACTGGAAAACGTTTCTTCAAATTTGAAACTATTGCGAATACCTTGCATACGTATGGTGGATCAACACTATATATTTCCTCAGATAGAATTTTCTTATACTTTGACAAAATGTAGATTTTACCATGCTTTTTTCAAAAACATGATAAAAGGTATGGGTCACCGTGCTATTTTTCAAGCTACAAATCGTTCTAAATTGCCTAATGTTGCATAAATTATTCATAAAAAAACACCGTTTGGAGAACAAAAAGAAGTCTATGGGATATAATTTGAAATAAAACTAGTTCAGTGAAAATGGACGTCACACTAAACTCCAAAAAATATAAATGAACTAAAATTAATTAAAATATGAGAAGATAGGTTTAATAATATGCTTTAAGAAAATAAAAATAAAAAATTTTGTCACCGAACTTGTTTTCTTGCTACAAGTAAAAAATGAAAATTTTATTAACATACCTTTTTAATTTTTTTTACTATAATGCTATAAGAGTAAAATCAAATATTTGGTCTAAATAATGCAATAAATCACTTATGTTCCTTTATTTAAATAAACAGTTTAAAATATTAATTGCCAATCTGTTTCAAAACTTTCAGATTTAAGCAAAGAACTAGACCGATTGTGCACTGCTATATTACAATCCAAGTATACAGTTAACAGGAGCATATTTGTGCCCAATTGGTCTTATTCTATGGCAACATTGGAACGAATCGGAAAATTTCAGAAACGTTGGGCTTTTGTACTACAAGCTGTTAAAACAATTTGGAGAAAATGGCACATGGATCATTTTCCATTATTTGAAAATCACGAAAAATATATATTTGAAACCAAGACAGACAGACAATGTCCGAAACCCTTATCTGA